GCCTCAGGCTCTGAGTTTTTTGTTTCTTAATAAGTGGCTTAAAGCAATATCCAAAAAGCAGCTTCAGGTTGGCATAACTTTTGTCCTTTAAGTCTTGCCTTTCAAATTTTAAATAATAAACTTTCCACATTCTAGAACAGTGATGGCGAACCTATGACACGCGTGTCAGAGGTGACATGCGAACTCATTTTTTTGGTTGATTTTTCTTTGTTAAATGGCATTTAAATATATAAAATAAATATCAAAAAATATAAGTCTTTGTTTTACTATGGTTGCAAATATAAAAAAATTTCTATATGTGACACGGCACCAGAGTTAAGTTAGGGTTTTTCAAAATGCTGACACGCCGAGCTCAAAAGATTCGCCATCACTGTTCTAGAAGCTACTAGAAAGTTGGTAGCTTGCTCCATATTTCATTGATTCAGTCATTCAGTTTCGAGAATAATTCAGTTCAGTTAAATATGTTGAGTCTCATTTCAGGACACTGTGATGCACATGGGTTCCCAAAGTGAGGCCTATATTGTGTATGCAAGCAGTCAGGTATTTAATAAGGAGTAGGTCTATGAATACAGAAGGAAAAAAGGGTAATGATCAGAGCAAATTATAAACCAGTTTCTGAGTTTGTAAGGCTGTCAGTCAAGAAAATTTCTGAATGTAAGGCTCAAAGTTTCTTTTGCTGGAATGAAGGTAGGCAGTGACTGTCGTCTGATCTTCCTTTTTTAATGTCTCTGACAATGTCATCAGGTGCTCTGGTGAATTCTGCATGGCTTACAGAGCATCGGTCACTGAGACTGTTTAAGTATGAGCTGTTGTGGCGATTTTTCTGAACTCTATATTATGTGCTTTAGCTGCCATTTGCAATTGCAAGACTCAGAAAAATTTTAGTTCTTAATAATTCCATGTCAAAGGATGGTAGAAAAATGGAAAGTTTGGAGGGTTATAGCCAAGTATTTAAGAAAATCAGAAAAATTCAGGAGCCAGTCCAGTATATAGGTGAAAATTAAACCTTAAATACAATTAACTGAACTAGAGTCTAATATCCATAACTGTGGATTATGCAGGGTGTGGCAAAAGTAGGAGTATGCGAAACAGAGTTTATAATGTATTATTACTTATTAGTTGTATTATTTTCCACACGAACAACTTAAACCTACATTTGCCCAACCCTGTGGAAACACAATTTCTCTCCCTAAAATCACCCTTATTTTCTCAAAGATGGTCACTTACTGCCTAAGTCCAGTTTCAATAAATTTGGCTTGATTATTTGCAAAAATTCAACAAAAATAGTAATTGATCCTATAGACTCTCTTAAATCTGAGTCTCACAAGGAATCTCCAGATTGAACTTTCA